AAGCTCAGTTGTATGCCATTATTTTTGCAATTGATAGATTTTTAAAGAAGAGTTTAATTCCAGGCAAACTAATTTTTAGTTTAGGTGGCTTTCACATTAGCACACTAGAAGGATGTACTTCCAAGTTTGGCTTTAAAAAAAAAAAAATCACTTGTACTGATGTGATAAAAATGACTACTCAAAGCTTCTAAGTATAAATGGTCAGAAAAATAGTACAGATACAGGATTTGTGCAGATTTGATGACCAAATTGACACAGTGGTTAAAAGATACTTTGAAATTTAAATAATTTGAAATTATCAAATTATAAAAAATACCTTTGCTTCTTTTCACAGACCTCCCAGATATAAATGATAAACAGAGTCAAGCCATAAATGACCTCCTGGAAGCAATCTATCCAAGGGTAGATAAGCAGGAATATGTAATTAAATTAGAACCTATAGAAACTAATCAGAATGCTGTATTTCAGTATGTATCAAGGACTGATAGCCCAGATGAGAACACAGACAGTAGTAATACCCCCGATCAAGCTCCAGTACAGATACAGGAACCCAGCACTGAGCAAACCAAGACTGTTTCAGCTCCAGCCCCAATCCCAGCTGGGGAGACTGTAGAAGTACCTCCTGCTGATCCCGTTACAAACAAGGTGATACCTACTCCTGAAGAACAGCCTCCATCAGTAAATCCTGAGTTGGACTCTCTGGACAATTCTGATTTTGGTCACCAGTTGATATGTTGCCTTTGTAGGAAAGAATTTCATTCCAGACGCAGTGTACGCCGGCACATTCGAAAGGTACACAAAAAAAAGATGGAAGAGCTAAAGAAATACATAGAAACAAAAAAGAAACCAAATCAGTGCTCCGCAAAAGGACGAAATAAGAATGTTCTTGTAACTTTAGGTAGAAGTTGTCCTGTATGTTATAAATCATTTGCTACAAAAGCCAATGTAAGGAGGCATTTTGATGAAGTTCATAGAGGATTAAGAAGGGATTCCATTACTCCTGATATAGCTACAAAGCCTGGGCAACCTTTGTTCTTGGATACAGTTTCTGCTAAAATATCTTCTAAGACCCGAAAACAAAAGTCGTCTTCAAAGGCTGAATACAATTTAACTGCATGCAAATGCCTTCTGTGTAAGAGAAAATATAGTTCACAAGTAATGCTGAAAAGGCACATGCAAATTGTTCACAAGATAACTCTTTCTGGAAAGAACTCTAAGAGAGAAAAAGGACCCAACAATACTGCCAATGGCACAGAAATAAAACTGAAAGTTGAACCAGCAGATTCTGTAGAACCTTCACCCCCTTCCATTGCCCTTTCTCCACAGAATGAATTAAAGGGAACAAATCATTCAAACGAGAAAAAGAGCATACCGTCAGCACAGAAAAATAAAGTTAAACCGGACTCTGAAAACCCTAAATCAACTTCTAAATCAACCACTAAATCAACCTGTAAATCAACCACTAAATCAACCTGTAAATCAACGAATGCATCTGCTGCAGGTGGCCAGCAAAAAACCAGGAAGCCAAAACTTTCAGCTGGCTTTGACTTCAAGCAGCTTTACTGTAAACTCTGTAAACGCCAATTTACTTCTAAACAGAACTTGACAAAACACATTGAATTACACACAGATGGAAATAACATTTATGTAAAATACTACAGGTGTCCACTCTGCTCTTATGAAACACGTCGCAAACGTGATGTGATAAGACATATAACTGTAGTTCATAAGAAGTCACCACGCTACCTTGGGAAAATAACTGCAAGTTTAGAAATTAGAGCAATAAAAAAGCCAATTGATCTTGTTCTAAATAAGGTGACAAAAAGAGGCCCTCAGAGGGATGAAACAAAACAGATTGTTTCAAAACAGGATGTCACCTCTGATTCTCCCAATAAAAAGTATGAAGGAGCTGATGTTGGCATTGAAGTAAAAGTAACAAAAAACTTTTCTCTGCACCGATGCAATAAATGTGGGAAAGCGTTTGCCAGAAAAGCTTTTCTAGAACATCATAAGAAAACCCACAAAGCAAATGTATCTCATTCACCTGAAGAAAATAAAACCAAAGGCAGAAGTACAAGATCTAAAGCTGTTGTCTGGTGAGGAAAAATAGTGTGGTGTTTTTTTGTTTTTTTTAAGAAACAAAACAAAAATGCTACCTTTCATTTGCTGTTGCTGATTTATTGCTGAAAACATATTTTTCCATAGATTTTATGGTTTAGTGTCTTAAATACTAAGGTAGATGTCAAATTTGTTTATTAAATTTTGGTTTTGGAAAAGAGTTAATTTTGAAATGTGTCATTGTAGGAAGTTCAAATAGAATATAGATAAAACTGTACTGAGTCAACTCTTTAAATTTTATTAAGGCATCTGTTGTAATCAAGCTAATATGCAACATTTCTAAAATAGTAATTTTTAAAAATTAACTACTTTGGTTTGAATAACTTAACCTGCTAATTAACTTCTCTGTGACCCAGTTGAAGAAGTACTGAAGGTACTACAGTAAAAGCTGTTGACAGAAAAAATCTCTATGAATTTATTGGAATTGTCATGTGTGCGTTGTTTTATTTTTTTTATTTTTTTACTTTTAATGTGTATTGCCTATGCCCTGTCAACAAAAGGACATAGAGCAGTTTTTTGGAGTGTAATTTGGATACTTAATTGCTTTGATTTAAAATCAGTATGAGTTAGGTGCCTGCAAACACCTTTAAAATAATGTAATGTAGGATTTGATTCTTCTAATGCTTTTTAAAATAAGCACGGGTTTGGAGACTTCTGTTCATTTACTTTTAAAAGTGTTCCAGGTCTTCAAGAATTTTTGTTTCAAGCCTAAATTTGAGTAGAAATCTTGACAAGAATTTTCCAAACTTCTGCTTATATGGTACTCTGGGACTTTTTTGACATTTGGAGGGGTTGTATTCATAAATTCTCAGTTTTCTATGGTCTTCGTCTTAAAGATGGCTTATTTTTAAAAGGACCTTTTAAAGAAGGAAATAACATATGTGTGCAATCAGTTTGTATATCAGAGTGACCGACTGATGCCTGAAGGTTGGGGGATTGTACAAAAAATTATAATGAAGGGAGACATTAGTGATACCTATAAGAGTTTTTAACATTCATAATTCAGAATTACCTTTCTAGCATATTTGGTGAAAAGAAAACCAAGTATATGTGCCTTGTTCTATATTTCAACTCTGACATGCTGTTTCCCAGGAGGTAATTTGGTTTGTGTTCAGCTTTTTGTAGTGAATTCCCATCCAGTTATGTTAAATTGTAATCTGGTGCTTTTGTGACTTTGTAACAAATCCTGTCTAAGTGGGACAGAACTTTAAAAATGAACTGAGCTGGACCCTGAATTGTGCTGAATTTAAGAGGAGGAGTGATTTCTGCATTTTGATCAAGAATTAAAAATTTAGCCTTAGAAGTTATTTATGTTGTGTAATTTAAAACAGAATTATATGGGTAAACTCAAAGTATTAATTTATTCCCATTTCTCCTCAGATAGGTTCAAGTGATGTTCAGAAAGTTTGGAGTTCATTTGAATGAAAAAGACTTTAGTTTGTTGTTGGAACGGCTAATATCTTGATAATGGTAATATAAAGAGGAAATATTTTCATAAGGTGTTGTTTTCTTACTAAATTTATAACCATTCTGACTGTAGGACAGTGGCTACTGCCAAAAAAATGAAGCAGTTGAAATGCACGTGTGCTTCTAAATTAGCAGTTGTCTCTATGCAGCTGAGATTTGACAGAGTATAGAATGAACTTTCTGCAGTTAGAAAAAGTACAGAGGCAAGTTAATGAACAGCAGCTATGGAAGAAGATTTTTGTTCCTCATTTAGGAAGTCATCTTCAGAGAGCTCATCATGCATACTGGTCCTCCCTAGTAGTGTTAATTGATGAACAGCTCTAACTTTTTTGTGATAGCCTACTTTGGCAAATGTTGTGTTATATACTGTTTCAAATTTATTACAAATGAATGTATAAGAGAAAACAATGTAGAGTATATTGGCTGAATTGTACTAATTTTTAGTATTTGCCAAACATCAGTTTGTTCATATTGACTAATCTCCCAGTTCTGGGACATTCTGAATTTCACTGTACTGACGTTGCTTCAAAGATCTCCATTTTGCTTCCGTATGTGATACATAGGACAACTTTGTAAACATCTAGGAAGTTTACAAGAATATCCACATTCCTCTATTCTTTTTTTTTTTAAAAAAAGAAATTATACACAAGCACTTTAATGATAGTTGCAGTTTATTTTTTCAGTTTATTTTTTGAAAGATCAACACACTAATGTTAATATGAAGGTAGTGAATATTTGCTGATATATTATAGACAGACAATCTGTGCACAACCACTTATAATGTTAGCTTATTTCATTAAATATTAAAAAGGGAGGATAGTATGGGAGAAACTCAAAATGTTTTTTCTCTCAAAATCATCAATGACCACTGTAGGTAGCACTTGACGTTGTATAATTTGGAAAATGTTGTAGATCCCTTTTTTTAACCTTTTAATTGAGATTGTAGTAAAAGTTGCATGCCTACCATTATGAAATTTTTGGCAGGTTTCATGCGTCAGTGGTTTGGGTTTTCTGTTCTGTTTTGTTTTGGGTTCTTTTTTTTACTTTTTAGAAAATATTTTGTTTAGTGATTTGTGTCAAATTGCTACATTTTGGAAGGTACTGTACATCAGAAGAAATACAATGTTTTTATATAGGTTCACTCCCTTACTTAGGGAGGTGCCTTGTGTTCATATATACTTTTTGTATAAAATATATCTAAAAATGTTGATCACAAGATCAGGAGTAAAAATACTTTTATGGATAGAGAACTATTTGGCCTATTAGTGCATTGCACTGAAATACTGTGAATGGAAACTGGACTGTAGCTGTTGCTCAAAATGTTCTATATTGAATGTACATGTTTTAGTGGATAAATACTCTATTTGGTGGAAAATAAAGCAGACTGGAAATCACTTTTAAGTGTGCATAAACGAAAAAATGTCGTGTTTGTAACCTGGAATACCTATTGGAAATGACAATATTTTGACTTTTGTAAAATTTTACTCTTTGATCACTGAAACTAGTTGTTTGTAATATTCTGTTGTAATAAATGTTTTTTTGGTTATTAAAAATTTTGCACTTGTGGAGTGAACACTTCTCCACACTGAAGGTTAACCCTTGCTATATTTTTAGAAGAGCACTGTCGTTACTGGCTTTTTATGCCTTGTAAAGGTATCTCTTACTTAACTGAGCAAAGCTTGTTTTTATGATCCTTTTAAAACAAAGTGAGTATTGATATTGAAGGAGATAGTCTATGCATTATTTTTTTTAATAAGAAAATAGGGTTACCTAGTTTTGCATTGCAAATAATGTTGGTTGCCATCCAATGTTACTTCTTCTTACAGTTGTAATATAAGAAAAGAGCTGCCATAATCATTGTTTATTCTTTTGTAAAGGAAGACATCAACCTATTTATGTAAATGCATTTTAACTGATGTTCCTGAATGCCTGTGGATTGAGATTAGGAAATTAAAATGCAGGTGTAGTGATAGCTAATTCTTGTGGTTTCTGCTGTCTATTCTCGGTAAGTGTGCAGTCTGCATCTTGAAATACATGAAGGTGAAGTTACTCCTGTTTCAAAGGTAAGCTTTCTGCTAAAGGATCTCCAGTTCTGCATCCATGTAGATAAACAGAGCTACAAAATCATTTTATTCTACTCAAAGTTTTGAGTAGCATATTCTTTCTTGAAGATGTGTCTTAATAATTAGCAATTGCCACAACTGGGTTATTTTTTTTAAATCTTCCTATGAGGTTAAATCTACTGGGTAGCTCTTCTGAAGAACAAGTCTCCTTTCTGACTTGTGGAATAGTTTTGTTTTCTCTTTTTCTAAAAATGAAAATAAGTGATATTGATTATGAAGGACTTGTTCAATTTAGTGGTTTTTTTTTTTTTGTTTGAGTTTCTGTGCAGCCATCTTGAAGGAGGAAACAAAAATTTGATGAGAGAACGTTTGCTAGTTATTGCCATTAATTCACACAATACGTATTTTTTTGACAAATCCTGAATATTTGTAATAGATGTTTGAATATAGTCAAGATCCATGTGGGCACTTATCTGCAAGGTTGGGCATCAGTGCATCTGGATATGAGTTTTTAATTGAAATGCATTCTTTTGTTGATAAGGCACGTTGGTTTGGCTCATTTTGCTTGGGCTAGCCAAGGACAAATGCAAATTCTTTACTGGGCTTTCAGAGTTAAGGTTGAGTCTTATTAAAGAGATTTTTATTCAGAATGGATGTGAGAGACCTTACAAAAAACTGAGGATGATCTAAGCATTCTGTATGGAAGCCTGTCTTGTAACACCAAGAATGAATTTTTTTTTTTTTTAAAGTGATACGTACCTTCTAATGCTGAGGCTCTGAGGGGCTATCTTTAATGTGAAGTTGATGTGAAATCTTGCATAAACAAGTGAAACTCACTGATACTGGAGGCATCAAAATTGCTGAAGTTCCCAGTCTAAGGAAGTGCTGGCTTCTGTCTCAAAACCACCTTCTCATTAGTTAATCATATCTTAGCTGAGGGTGTTTGGTCTTCTTGGTTTTACTCTTTTGCGTTTAATTTTGGCATGCTTTCTATTTTTGTGTTTTACTTGTTTTTTCTGTCTGGAATGTTAGATTCCAGGGCTTAAAATCGTTATAGTGTTTGGCCCCCTCAGTTTTATAGGAGAATTAAAGAAAATTGTAGCTTACATAGTTGATGGTCATTCTCACCATTTGTTTTTTGATTGGATTTTTCTGGGATGAACTTAAAGCTATTGTGAGGATTTGTGTTACTTGTCAAGTGCCTGAAGTGCTCGAAAACAAGAGATTAGTTTTGACTGATGGCTGTAAGAACTGTGGGTAGATATTTTGCATCATTCCCTTTTTGATGAATAGGGAAATACAACAATTGGTAAACTGTAAAAGTAGACCAGTATGTTGGTTCAGGCCTAAGGGGTAGAGAAGAAATAAAGTTGGATATTCAGATATCCAAGGTGTTGGATATTAACTGTAAAAGCAAGTCTTTTGGGACACTGGTGAATCATCTGATTGTCT